TCCCAGAGCATTCTCCAGGACTTGCATGGGACACTCTACTGGGCTTTTCTTGCCACCAGCAGACTCTTACTGGGTATCTGCACAGGAAGGCATCTGAACCATAATCATTCTTAACTTTTCTGTCTTTCCTCCCAGGGGAGGGGCTTTTTCTGATAAACTGTTTCTGCAATAAGCTGAGTGTGACCCCATCAAAAACCCATGACCTGCCCATGGCTGCTCACAAACCCTCAGGTCTGCTTCTTGTAAAAGCAAAGGCAAAAGGCCCCATGTGGCAGGATTTGTCATTCATGGCTCTGGGAAAGGTCCAGAGAAGAGATTGAGGAATTCTTAGTCCAGTCTTGTTCCAATTTACAAAGTACCCAAAACCCCTTGTGTAGAATTTGTTTTGGGACTCAGGCACAGAAAAAGAGCAGGAAAGAGGTGGGAGTGGGTAGTAACAGACTGTGCCCAGGAGGGGTCTTCAGGGACAGAAGTGACCTTCTAGAAATCCTTGCTCTTGGCTCTTTTCTGGGGGCAAGCTGATTTAGACATCTTTTTTTAAATTCTTCTTTCCTTTCCTTTTCCCCCCAAAGGAAGTAAAGCAGAAGGCAACATGGTAAAGGGATGCAAACCCCAAAATATATCACATGTGTTCCATGGAACCCAAGTTTGGAGGTGTAAATGGGAATCACACACACACGGTGGGTCTGTAGTCAGATCCCTTGTTCTGAGCCCTGGTAATCAAAACCAAACCAAACCAGTTGCCATGCAGTTGATGCTGACTCACAGCGAGCCCACGTGTATCAGAGAAGTGTGTTACATAGAGTTTTCAATGGCTGACTTTTTTGGATGTGGATCACCAGACCTTTCCTTTAAGGCACCTCTGAGTAGGTTCAAACTGACAGCCTTTCAGTTAGTAGTTGACAACTTCACTGATTCCTTCCAAGCCCTGGTAGCCTCCTCTATTTTGCCTCCTTAATACTAATCACAGTCTGTAATTCTGTATTTGCTTATGTATTGTATACGTCAAGACTTCATTCTTCTTCTAGAACATGTCTCATGAGATCCTTCCAAGCCCTGGTAGCCTCCTCTATTTTGCCTTCTTAATACTAATCACAGTCTGTAATTCTGTATTTGCTTATGTATTGTATACGTCAGGACTTCATTCTTCTTCTAGAACATGTCTCATGAGGGCAGAGCCCAGGTCCGCTTGGTTTATATCCCCCAGTATCTAGCACAGGGTCAGGTGGATAAGTGCATGACTGATCAGTATTGATGATAATCAGGAATTTGAATGTCTCGTTCCATTTAGTGTATGGACAAGAAGGCCTGTGTCCTTTCGTAGACCTCTAAGACAGTCCATGTGCAGAGTCAGAAATCTGAGTCCAGTTCAGGGCACATGGCTTCCTATGGCTGCTTTTAGAACTTTCAGTCCAAACAATTGAAATAATGTCTCGAGAGTGCTCAAAGGGCATTGATTAAAGCCACCTGCTTGCAGATTCTCCTGGTGCCTTCAGAGAGCATGTCTGCTGGGCTTACCATTCTATTCCACAGTCAGTAGTTAGCAGATAAATGAGTAAATACATTTTGAGAGAACAACAAACTATCCCTCCTTGGGAATTTTACTGCGTGTCATCATTAAAGTCCCAGAAATCCTGTAGAAGCCCACCTGATGGCTTTACCAACCCAAGGGTAGTGGTAAATGGCTCTTAACCCCAACCTCTTCTACTTGCCAGCTGTGTGTTCTTGGGCAAGTTGCCTGACCTCTCTGTGCCTCAGAGGGTCTCCTGTAAAACATAGTTAGTAGTAGCCAGTATGGTTACTCTTGAGTAACCATCTCATGAAGTTCTTGTGAAGGTTAAAGTCATTACTCCATGTCAAACATTTGGCACAGTGCTTGGCACACGGTAAGCCTCTCACTTTAGCTGCTATGCTGCAGACCATTCCCTGGAGAAGGGTGTCATGCTTGATAAAGTAGAGGGCCAGCAAAAAGCGGGAAGACCCTCAAGATGAATTGACACAGAGGCTGCAACAGTGGGCTAAGCATAGCAAGGATTGTGAGGATGGTGCAGGACTGGGCAGTGCTTCGTTTTTTTGTCCATAGGGTCACTATGAGTCAGAGCTGACTCGATGGCACCCAACAGCAGCATGCTGCATATGATTAGGATGGGGGCATGTGCAGCATCTCAGTGAAGTTCACTCTGGTTTGGGAGATGCTGGTGACATGGAAGAAAACTTAGGATAATAAAGAGGGTACTCATGCCATGTCTGCCACTGTCTGACCATAAGCCCATGGGCTCCCTGGTTAGTATCTGCCTGGGGTGGATGTCTGGAAGGGTATCGTACAGTGATTGGTTCCTGGTGAGGTCTGAGCAGCTGAGGGCGGAGTCAGGTTCCTGGGTCCACATCATTGGACATTTCCAGACACCTCTGCCTCCTCATCTGAAAAATAGGTTGAAACATCCCAGCCCTACCCGCCTTGTTTGAGGTCACTGATATACAGGGGAGGGCTTTGCGGATCTCAGGGTGGAGGGGGAGAAGGTGCATCAGCAGAGTCTGCTACCTGATCTCTGGCATGTTCTAGAATGGGTCTCTAGGTACACAGCTCACAGTACCCAGGCCCTTGGAAATGAACATCACATTCAGGCACATGCAGGCAGCCTTTCTCATGACAGCTCCAGCACTATGTCTGGCATTGCCCTGCCACCGGGCACACCCAGGCCTTTTGTGACGAGCTGATTTAGATGCCTTGGGTAGCAACAGAGTCCCTGTGAGCTCCACAAGGCTCTGTGCCATTGAGGCAGGAGCAGAGGCCCTGCAGCAGCAGTCACTTCTTATTGTTAGTATCCTTGGACATGACTCACAAGTTACATGGTCTTCCAGCCTGGACACCAGACATTGACCTCTACAATCCTGTAACCATGGCAAGTGCCACAGGGGGCTTACAGGACTCTCATCAACAACTCCACACCATACAAGGGTTGAGCTATTCTTTGTCCTTGAAGTCTATTTAACCTTTTACACTGGTTTGGCCTGTTGTTAGCGGCTGTTAAGAGTCAACTCCAACTTGTAGTGAGCAATCTTATGTTCAACAGGATGAAGCACTGCCTGGTCCTACATCATCCTTCTGATCGCCAGTATCTTCAAGCCTGTCATTATGTCTATTGTGCCAATCCATTTCACCAAGGGGCTCCCTCACCCTCACCCTCACCCTCATTGGCCCTCTATTTCACCAAACTTGATGTCCTCCTCTAGTGATTGGTTCCTCCTGATGATGTATCCATAGCAAGTGAGTGGAACAATGTTCTGTTGAGATCCATAATATTTGCACTGGCCGTTGGTTGGAAGTAAATTGTCAGACCTTTCTTCCTAGTCTGCCTTAGTCTGGAAGCTCCTGTGAAACCTGCTGAGTGACCCTCTGGTATTAGAGATACTGGTGGCATGGCTGCAAGCATCACAACAACAAACCAAAAGCCACCACAGCAGGACAAACTGACAGATGAGTGGTGGGCTTGGGGCTAGATCATATTTAAAAGATGGAGTGGTAATAATAATCAAGTAAATATCCTTATAGAATTTTACCATTTAAAAGAGCTTTTGCAACTAGATCTCATAGGAGCCCATCTATCTCCTGCTGCCTCAAGTTGGAAATTTGCTTTTCGTACATCCATTAGTCCTGATGCATTTGTTTTTGTTCATGTTTTCTTTTCAGCTGCTGTCCCATCCCCAGATATTTATTTCCTTTTGAAGAAAGCACTCTGTTTGGGCTCAGCTAGAGGGAGAAGAAGAGGTGGGTTTTGGGCCATGCTAGAACCAAATGGTTGCAGGGCTGAGAGGTGTAGATGTGGGGGCGGGGTAGCCAGGAGGCTGCAGGAGCTGCTCCTTCACCCTGTGGGGTCTTCCCCTGCCAGCTCTTTTTGTCTTGGTCAGTGATAGTGTTCCCTGCAGGGATGATGTCCTGTGGACTTAAACCCTGGACTAAGCATAAATATGAGAGTCTGGGAGGGAAGGCCTGAGGGCTATGGAATTGAGTTTGCAGAATTGTTGCAAAAATGGGGATGTCAAGCTTATGGTTTGGGTGGGACATTGGGCAATGAGAGAAACTTCACAGGAAACCATTCATTGGAGGATTTGGTTCTTGAGCAACATGGATGGATGGATGGCTAGCTACTATTGAGTCAACTCTAACTCACAGCAACCTTGTGTACAACAAAATGAAATGTCTCCCAGTCCTGCACCATCCTCACAATCACCTGCATGTTCAAATCCATCACTGAGGCTATTGTGCCAATCCATCTCACTAAGGGTCTCCCTTAACCTCACTAGCCCTCTGCTTCACCAAACATAATGACCTCCATCAGTTGATCCCTCCTGATGACATGTCCAAAGCAAATGAGTTGGACAGTATCACTGGATAATTTTTGGAAATAGACTGCCAGGCTTTTCTTGCTGATCTGTCTGAGTCTAAAAGTGCCACTGAAACCTGTATACCATAGGTGATTTTGCTGGTATTTGAAATACAGGTGGCATAGCTTCCAGCCTCACAGCCAAGCCAAGTGGCAGGCTCCATGAGTGAGAAAGGAATAAAGTCAAACTACCGTCCAGGGACTGCTAGTCCAACTGGGGAGGCAAGCAGGTCCAGGCAATTACAAGCAATTTGCAGAGCTAAGTGTCCTTGCCATAGCAGCCCTGAGAAGGGCCCCTGACTCCCAGGTTCATTTTCCCATGTGACTTGGTGTTCCAACCCACCTCCTTGCCATTGCTGTTAGCTGCTGCTGAGTCCGCGCTTGAGTCCAGGTGACGTCCATGTACAATGGAATGAAATGCTGCCTAGTCCTGCACCATCCCCACAATGGTTGTGAATCCAGCGTTTGTGGTCCATAGGGTTTTCATTGGCTGATTTTCAGAAGTGCTCAGCAGGCCTTTCTTCCTAACCAGTCTTAGTCTGGGCCTCCAGGTTCTGCTGAAAATTCTGCTGGCACCTGTTCAGCATCATAGCAATGTGATAGTTGCATGTGAGGTGCACTGGCCGAGAATTGAACCCAGGTCTCCTGCGTGGAAGGCAAGAAATCTACCACTGAACCACCACTGCTCCTTGCCGTCACTAGTGCTTCCAAATGAGCCGGGAGCCCGGTCCTGTCCCCTGACTCCTTCCCAAGAACTGATCTCTGTGTGCCCTTGAATGTAGCACTTCCTTATTCTGGCTCAGTTCCTCGTCTGAGAGCAAAGGGCTGCTGGCCAGGTCTCCCAGGTCCCCTTCACCTCTCCTGTCCCTGTAGGAAGGGAGGCAGCCAAGCATGGATTTCCCCACTGGCCGCTTCTCTTGGCTGAAGTCATCATAGCCAGGCCAGCCTTCCTGTTGACAGTCGGGTGTTACAAGCTTGTCACATGCATATTTGGAGTTCAAGCCAAGCAGGTTTTTGGAACTAATAACCTCCCAAGACTTCAGAACCTAGCATGAAAGCTACTCAGGGCAGGGGTGTGGTTGGTCCGGGGTGCATGAAGGCCAATCAGAAATCCAGTGCCAGCGTGGCCTCCCTCAGGGCTGCCGAGGTGGCGGGGAAATGCGTGGGCTAACAGGCAGGTGTCAGCTCTGGGGTCAGATTCTGGGATGAACTCTGGTTCCCTCCCTTTTCCCCTCCTTCCCCTGGTTACTTCCTCTCTTCCTCCTATTTACTCCTCTCTTTGTGACTTTAGATGAGTTACTCAACTTTTCTGTTACTGTCTCCTCATCCATTAAAAGGACATTATAACCTATCTCACATGGTTAAAGAGAAGAATAAATGAAAAAAAACACATAACCACTTGTACCAGGGTCTGTGAATACTAACTCCTCACATGGTTGCTCCTGTCACCCCACAACCACCATCACCCACCCTATCATCACCCCACCTCCACCATTATTACCCCCACCACCTTTATACCCACCCCTACCACCCCCCACCATTAACACCACCTCTACCATCACTCCCACCACCAGCACCCTTACCACCATCACACCACCATCATCACACCAACACCACCCCCCCCACCCCCACTATCATCATAATCACCTCCACCATTACCCCCACCATCTTACTCCTACCACCATCATCATCACACTACTATCATCACCCTCACCACCACCCATACCACCCCCCACCCCACCATCACCATCACTTCCACCACCATTACCATCCCCCAACATTACTCCTAGTGCCATCATTCCTCCTATCCCTACCATCACCCCTGACCACCATCACCCCCCACCATCACCCCCACAACCACAATCACCCCTGCCACCTTCATCACCTCCACCATTATCATTACCCCTACCATTACCCCATTCCCATCATTATCCCACCACCACCATCACACAACTACCATCGTGTAGGGTCACTATAGAGAGATGGTCCCTACTCTGGATGTCGACCATTTCTGAAAGTGGCTGGTTGTTGGTGCCAGGAGGCAGGTGTGGCTTTCTGAAGCTCCAACTCAGGGAATTTCAACACCATCTCAGGGCTGTTTTGGTTTGACACTGGCTCCTACACCATTTGCCTCCCCCACCCTGGCAAAGGTGCAGAAGGTCAGACAGCGACTTTGAAATGAATTGTGCTCAGACAGTGTATAGAGGGTGGTGTAAAACTCCTGGGCAGCTATGTGTCCTAACTAGCTCTGAGGACTGCTGTTGGGGAAGGGGTGGGAGGGAGGGCTGAAGGAGGTGTGGGGGCAGTCAGGGACCTGGGATCCCCAGAGAGCACTTGTCTTTCAAAAGTAGGCAGCTCCTTGCCTCTGAGACCCCTCCCCCTTTCTGGTCCTCTTGGCAGCAAACTCCTTGTGGGTTCTCTGGACTCCCTGACTCTGGTCCTCTTCTCCCCTCCTCTGTTGAATTCACTTCCTTCATGCATTTGTCTCTGCAGTGCCATCAAATCTGCTATAACCAGGGTGACCAGCAATGTCTCAGATGCTAAGGGCAAGATTAGTTCTCAGTCTTCGTCTCGCTTTACCCACTAGCAGTATTAGACACGGTTAATCCTCTTTCAAAATGCTTTCTCTTTTTGGCCCCCAGGATCCCAGCATCTCCAGGATTTTTCCATCACCAGCTGCTCCCTCCTCTTGCCACTCCCTGGTTGATCTCTTCCAGTCCTATGCCTTAAATGCCACCCAAATACTGTTTTTGTTCGGGTGCCATTGAGTCAGCTCTGACTCATAGTGACCCCATCCATGTACAACAGAACAAAACACTGCCCAGTCCCGTGCCAGCTTCACAATCCCTGCTATGCCTGAGCCCATCATTGTAGCCACTGTGTCAATCCATCTTGTTGAGGGCCTTCCCCTTTTTCACTGACCCTCCACTTTACCAAGCGTGATATCCTTCTCCAGGGAATGGTCCCTTCTGACAACATGACCAAAGTAGGTGAGACAAACTGGTTATTCTTGCTTCCAAGGAGCATTCCAGCTGCACTTCTTCCAGGATAGATTAGTTTGTTCTTCTGGCAGTCCATGGTACCTTCAGTATTCTTTGCCAACACTTAGATGCTGGTGAATCCCGAATGCAAGTTCCCCAGAAGGCTGGTCTCCTTTCAGCTGCCTAGTTGACATCTCCCTTGATGACTATTTAACTCTTCAAATCTAATCCTTCCCAAACCAGATGTATCTCTCCGTGAAGCTACCACCTTGCTGACAGCTTCTAGAAAATGGAAACCAGACTTCCAGCTCAACCAGCTCAAGCCAAACACTCCAGAGTCAATTTTGACCCCAATCTCCTTCTCACTGCCCTCCACTCCCACCCCAATCCAGGTCATCAGCAAATTCTGTCAGCCCTCCTTCCAAAATAGATCTGAAGTCTAACGACATGACTTCTCACAGCTCCACCTATTCAGCTGCTACCGTGGTTCAAATCACCATCATCTCTGCCTGGATCGCCAGCAGTTGCCTTCAAGTTGGTATCCCAATTCCATTCTTGTTGGCCTGCAGTCTGTGCTCTGTAACATAGTAGCTATGTCAGATCATGTCACTCCTCTGTTCACCTCACTCAGTGGCCTGTGAAGCCCTCCACTCTGCACCCTCTTACCTCTCTAATATCCAGGTGAATGTCACCCCCAGGGCCTCTTCACTTAGTATTCCCACTGCCTGGAACACTCAAGGCACAGGTATCTGAGTGGATCGGTCATTCACCTACTTCAGGTCTTTGCTTGCATGCCACTGTTTCTGTGGGTCTTCCCTTTCCACCTTGCAGCACTCCCCCACCCTATCACACTCTGTTAAGATCTCCTGTCTGCTTTGTCTTTCTCCTTAATGATTGTTGTGGCTTGACTTGCTACTCTTCTTGTTTATTTTTTACTTTCTGTGTCTCCACTAGAATATGAGGCTGGAAGGCAGGAAGGAACTTTTGTCCTCTGCTGTATCTCCAGAGCTCAACTAGGCTGAGCAATACTAACTGCTTCTCACTGGGGCTTGGGAGAAAGAGGCTCTTAGGAAATGGAGATGGGGTGGAGAGGAGGGGTGGAGGAGTGAGGAGGTGAGGTAGGCACTGCCTCTCCAAATGATGGGGAATGGTGGCAGTCCTCATACTGGTCCTATTCCTTTATCTGTGGGCTGTCATTGTACATCCCATCGGAGATGTATCATCACCCAACCAAGTGGACTGGTACCTCCAAACCCATTTAGGAATAAGATGAATGAGACCAGGGAGGTCAATGATGAGATGCTCCTGAATGAGCCGGTGGGCCCTTGGTTCTCCTGACATCCTGGAAGACAGAAACATCAGCATTATTCTAATTATTCTATACACTAAGAGCATAGCTTTATTGTCAAAAAGTTGTTGTTGTCAGGTGTCATGGAGTTGGTTCTGACTCACAGTGACCCTGTGGACACCAGAACCAAACACTGCCCGGCCGTGCAGCAGCCTCACAATGGTTGCTATGTTTGAGCCCACCGTTGCAGCCACTGTGTCATCCATCTCATCGAGGGTCTCCCTCTTTTTCACAGACCCTCTGCTTTAACAGTCATATGCCCTTTTCTAGGTCCCTCCTGACAACATGACCAAAGTATGTGAGACAAGTCTCACCATCCTTGCTTCTAAGGAGCATTCTGAATGTACTTCATCCAAGACAGATTTGTTCATTCTTCTGGCAGTCCATGGTGTATTAATATTGCCAACACCATAATTCAAAGACATCAATTATTCAGTCTTCCTTATTCATTGTCTGGCTTTTCACATCCGTATGAAATGATTAAAAATACTACGGCTTGGGTTGGGTGCACCTTACTCTTCAAGATGACATCCTTGCTTTTTAACACTTTAAAGAGATCTTTTGCAACAGATTTGCCCAATGCAACACATTGTTTGATTCCTTGACTGCTGTTTTTATGGATGTTGATTGTGGATCCAAATAAAATGAAATCCTTGACAACTTCAATCTTTTCTCTGTTTATCATGGTTCAATTGTAAGGATTTTTGTTTTCTTTATGTTAAAATGTAATCCATATTGAAGGCTGTAGTCTTAGATCTTCATCAGTAAGTGCTTCAAGTCCTCTTTGCTTTCAGCAAGCAAGATTGTATCATCTGCATATTGCAGGTTGTTAATGAGTTTCCCTCCAATCCTGGTGCTGTGTTCTTCTTCATATAGTCCAGCTTCTTGGATATAGGTTGATTAAGTTTGGTGAAAGGATGCAACCCTCATGCACACCTTTCTTGATTTTAAACCATGCAGTATCCCTTTGTTTTGTTCAAACAATTGCCTCTTCATCTATGTACAGGTTCCACATGAACATGATTAAGTGTTCTGGAATTCCCATTCTTCAAAATATTATCCATAATTTGTTACAATCCACACAGTCAAATGCTTTTGCATAGTCAATCAAACACAAGTAAACATCTTTCTGCTATTCTTTGCTTTCAACCAAGATCTATTTCATATTAGCAATGGTATCCTTCGTTCCACATCCTCTTCTGAATCCAGTTTAAATTTCTGGCAGTTCCCTGTGTCTGTATTGCTGCATCTTTTTTGAAAAAGCAGGAAGGCCTTAATAGACCAATGCCCTGCTATCCATTGGTTCAAGGAAGGAGGTTTTAGGACACTTTGTAGCCAATGACACTCTCTCTATCAA